AAAATGTAATAACGAAAAAATAATGTTGTTCCAATAGAGATCAAATTAAATTACAATAGAATTTTTGTGGATTAATAAGTGTACCATCAAAATAACATAATGCCATTACAATTTATAAATTATAGTTTTTATTATTTGTCATCTTTCTCATATGTAATACTTTTTTTTACACATTAATACAATAACAATATGTTCAATAATATTAAAAAGAAAAGAATATTTTTTTCTCAATTCGACATATGAAAATAATAAAAAAATATTATATTTTTTAAAAAAAATTATGAACAAATATTTTATGTTATAGTATAGTTGACTCGACAATATAATTGATGAATGTATAAATTACGAATATATAACTAAAATTCTACATATAGTTAAAAAAGACATAAGAATATTTTTAAAGTTAGATAAAATTATGTCGCAAAAGAGAGAATATAAGCTATCATCAAGACTAAAAAGAAAATAGAGAATAGAGCGTACAATTGTAAATTTTGATAACTATTATATTTCGTTTAGTTGTAATATTGCATTTATATTATATCTTTGATATAGTTATGAGTTGAACTAAATTATAATTGATTGAGTTTTAAATTAATTTATTATTTATCTTTCTTTCGTTTAATTTTATTTTTTAAATAAAGGACATGATTAAAATTATGAAAAATGTTCCCATGATTTTTGTTAGATATCTTATACTATATGTTTTGGGATGAGGAGTGTGTCGGGACTATTAGACAAACATGGATCTGCCCAAAATTCTAACAAAGTATTTTTGTTAAAATATTCATTGAAAAATTCAAACGAGAATTGTAACATTGAAATATTCGTTAGAGTTGTTGTTGAAATTCTGTTGTAACATGCTTTCATTAGAATTTCATCATTTTCTTGCAGTAAAAGTATGACTCCAAATAAAAAAAAAAAGCACTATATATAATATTGTGTGCAGTTAATTATTTTATTAGTATTATAACTAAACAAGAAGTAAGAATGATGTTCTATGTAATAAAAAGGTAAGAATAATACTAAACAAGAGGTAAGAATATTGTTCTACATGATGAAAAGGTAAAACTACACAATGAGAAAGATTATAGCTCATATTCCATCCAAAAGAAATAATAAAGAATAAAATTAGTAAATGTCCCATATTAATTGAAGCTAGCGAATGATAAATCTAAAACATAGTTGAGATGCACATTTGTAAAAACTATATTTATCTTTTTGTGTTAGAAATATGTATGTTAGTCATCATCTTTTTAATTAACAATTTAATTAATTTTTACCATTAAAATTTTAAATTTTGAAATACTTAATATTTTTTATGTTTCACTTTTATATTTAATATATCACATCATTTGTTTCTCATGATGTTTGATTTGACCAATGTATTGTAAATAAAATATATATATATATACATAGAGCAATTTAAAATAATATATACCAATTTATAGATCCATGTTAACTCAATTTTATTAATTATAAAATAATATTGGATAAACTTGTGATATATTTTTCTTACATAGATTTGAAATATTCAATAATAAGAAAAAAATGTAATTGGATGTAAACGTACATCTATTACCAATATTAATTATATGAATTAAAAGAAAAAATAAATGAGTTGTATGTTAAACTATTATGCAATTATTGCTTGAAAGAGAACACCATAATGGTTTTAAAAATATATTTTTTGTGGATATGAAAATAAATTTGTTACTTAGGAGTTTATCATCAATGGAAAAAAAAAATCCAAAAACTTTTTAATCTTATAAACAATATAAAAGTACATTTTTATCAAATATATGATTACTATAAAAAAAAAATAAAACTCAATGTGTATAAATGTGCTCTAATTTTTTCAACAAATAAAATATTATTTGTGAATAAAATAAAAAACAAATAAAACAAATAGTAATGCAATGGGAAAAAGAATCGGTCAGAACTTTTTTAGAAAAGTATGAATACCAATATTAAGAAACAAAAATCTTTGAAAATTACTACTTTTTTGTTGCTAGCATTTAAATATATGTTATCTATAAGAAATTGGTTCTCATAAATAGTGTCGATATTATAATAATATAAACCAGGAACTTTAATAATGACTTCATAATAGTAAAGTTAACAAATGACTAAGAGTATCATAATATAATAGAATTCAAATTCTTCTCATCTAAAATATTTTGACAGATAATATGCGTCTCAATATTGTCTCATTGTTTTGTTTTGTTTTGTTATTATTGAAGAATCAAGAAATGATCATTATCTTGAATTTTCGAAGCATTAGTTATGATACAAAAAGTGGACAATAAATGCATTAAATAAATTATTAGACACATAAATATTGCAAGTAATCCAAACGAATGTGAAATGTTTTATGATAAACAACTCTAAAATCATTGCAACAACCAAAATATTCAATGATATGCAAATTGCAAATAATAGGTTATGTAGTTCATCTATCGTCCAAATAAATAACATTGAAAAGGGAATGTTTGATTATGATTAAATTATTTTGGAATGATTGAATAAGTTCACTTTTGATAGAATATTTACAATCTTAATTGTGTATTGGGCTCGATCATATGTGAAATTACTTTAGAATACGTATTTTAATGTGATGTGTGATAATTTTAAAAAATAATTTAGCGACTTCGAAGAAGTACATGATTTTGAAAAATTAACTTTTATTTAGAGATTAAATTCGTTTCCACCCCATGGAGTAAGTACCAATTTCTCTATCTTAATTGTGTATTGTGCTCGATCATATGTACAATTACTTTAGAATACGTATTTTAATGTGATGTGTGATAATTTAAAAAATAATTTAGCAACTTCGGAGAAGTACATGATTTTGGAAAATCAATTTTTATTTAGAGATTAAATTCGTTCTTACCCCATGGAGTAAGTACCAATTTGTTATATGGAGAGAGAGAGAGAGAGAGCAATATAGTATTTTATACAATGATTAAAAAAAATATCAAGAATTTTAATGACACAAGTATCAAGAACTCTAATGATACAGTTGGTTATATCACAGAGATATTTATGAACTGTTATTAAATATACTTTATAATGATCATACAATCATGAAGTTTGACTATATGTTTGACTAAAGTATCTCTAAGTGTTGAATAAAGCACACGTTTTACCAAATTAATTAAGAAAAATTAACAATACAATTAATGTATTGGAATACAACGAGTATAAATGTTTCTTATGAGAACATCAAATTAGAATGAAAGAAAATCACTCTTGAATCTACATAAATAAATAAAAGAACTCATGCATCTATAATATACATTAGGTCCTTATTTAGTGTTTTTTTTATTATAGACTCATTTTCATATATTTTTGTTGGGGTTGTAATATATTATTTAAATTTTTTTATATTGCGACATCATTATATTATTTTTGAAAAAAAAAAATAATTAAGAGTTTATTTAATCTACATTTTATTTTTTCTTACTTCAATCATATGTTTAATAAATTAATTAATTTATCTTACTAAAATTAGTCGGCAAAAAACATTTGTCACCACGTGCATCGCACGTGCACTTTACTAGTATAATAAAAAATAAGTATTATTAATGCTTCGTTTATTTTATAACCCGTGCAATGAGGTCAATGACTATAGTTGGTAAAGTGTGCAAATCAACCACAATTGCCAATAGTGCCATCTCGAGAGATATTGAAAGTGACAATTCCTTTCAATTTCACTCACTTGGGATATAGCTTCTTGTGATTCTAAACTTCCCTTTGTAAACAAGTCCACCATAATGGACACAAATACAAAAGACACACACATTCAAATTACATCATTTTATTTCTTTCACAAATTAGGACTTTATTTTTTACCATATGATCAACTCACCATTAACCTATATTAACTTAAGGCCAAATGCACCACCCAATCGGCTCCTGCTGATCGGCCGCCACAAACACATCGGAAAAGTAGCTTTGGCCATCCTTGCCGGAATCCTCTGCCGCCATATAGTCAGCTGCCGGAAAGTACGAATCACCGCTGTCGAGAAGCTGGCGGCCATCATCGTCCACCACGGCACTTCCATCACTGCCCGTACTCAGACGGTCCTCAGCCTTCATAGTCAGCTGAAGGCTCGGCAGAAGTGGGCCCACCGGGAGTGGGTCGGGTTTCTGACCCAGTTCCTCACCGGGCTTTTTCTCGGGCTGGAATTTCTCAGTTAAGGTAATGAGCTGTAAATCGAAATCCGAATTTCCCAAGACTTTATTAGGGTNGGCACCGGTAAAGGGTCCGGTTCTTGGGAATCGAGTTCTTTCGCCAGCTGGCATTTCTCAGTCAAGGAAAGGAGCTGTAATAAAATTGGTTAAAAGTTAAAACTTAAAACTATGTCCATCCAAAAGTCTAAAGATGCTTTATTCTTTTTATAACATAGTGAAAGTATAAGTTCGTATCAATAAAAAATAAATAAATAAAAATTCTTCTTCATGAATTGAAGTCTCATCAACTTTCTTGAATCAAGTGGGGTTCAGTTCAGGACAGATGCTATTTTTATTTGAATAGTGCAAGTATCAAAACATGCTGAGGTTAGACAACAACACATTTGTGTTCTTGTAATAGCTAAGAACGAATCTTATGGGCTGGCCCTGGCCCAACATGTCCCTATCGATCTCCAAGTGGACGGCCCAGGTGCCCTTATAGAAACACTAAAAGTCAAATCCAAACAAATTTCATACATCTTGTTTTCAACGTTAATAGTATCCTTCACCTAGCGACCCCTTTGATAATGAAAGGCCTAAACACCATCCAAATGTGTAGCATCCATATAAGTTATAAGGATAGAACTTATCAGCACATTCTAATGATGCCTTTGACTATAATCAGATCACAAGATAATCATAATGATAACAAATAATTCATTTAAAAAATAAAAAGGGCTATGGATATCTGTAACTGCTAAATCAATAAATTTCTTTCTTGAATTTTATTTTACCTCAGCTTTGAGCTTGTCGTTTTCCTTGAGAATGGAGTCGTAATTGGAACTGAGAAAGTCATATGAGGCCTTAAGCTTATCATAATCCCTCTCGAGCTGCTTGGTCTTCCACCTGGCACGGCGGTTTTGGAACCAAATTGCTACTTGCCTCGGCTGCAAGCCCAGATTCTTAGCTAGCTGGGTTTTTCGATCAGGTTCCAGCTTGTTCTCAGCCTCGAAGCTTTTTTCCAGCAAGTGCACCTGTTTCATTAATGTCCAAACCATTTCACCACCAATCTAACCACAAAATATAACTAACCACGAAAAAAATACTGTAACTCTGACATCTAATTGAGAAATAGTCTAGTGATCGCGTTGACTTTACACATCATATCAACTTTAATTCACTATTCATCCACTCACATAATTTTAACTATCACTTCATATCATCCTTCAATTACTTTTAGATCAAATCAATTTTAATTATTTTATTTGAAATATTATTTTAATATAAACTCAAAATCCAATTAATAACTAACTATACTACTTTTTATAAATTAACCCTAATTAACTAAAAAAAACTCAAAGTGAGTTAATTCACTCAAATTATTTCTTTTACAAACACACCCTAATATATCCAACTCATGGAAGGACCCAAAAGTCAGGTTTTTTTGCAGTTACAGGGTGTTAAAGTAAAATCAACACAACCTTTAGACTATTTCTCGATTTAGTGTAAGTTGGAAGACTGAGAGCATGTTTGTTTATGGAAATTTTTAGTTTTGTTTGGATATTTTAGTTTGGTTTGGTTAATTTTGAAAAAAGTGGTATTGTTAGTTGTTAGTAGGTATATTAAAATAATATTTAAAATAAAATAATTAAAATTGATTTGATGTAAAAGTAGGAGAGAGATGATTGAAGTGATGGTTAGTTAAAATAATGTGAGTGGATGAATAGTGAATTAAGGTTGATATGGTGTGTATGAATAATTGATTGATATTATTTAATTATATTAATAATATTGATGATAGTGGGGTTGAGCTAATGTTGAGTTAAAAAAAGTGATTGAGTTAAACAGTTGAAATTTTTTTAAAAAATTTCTATAAACAAACATGCTCTGAATCTCGAAGTGTTCCATGAAAAACACAAAAATGGAGTTCTATTTCGAAATCACAAGGACCTGATATTATCTTTGAGGTATATTTGCAGTTAATTATCTGTAGAATGTATCAATAGTTCAAGACACACTAATTAAGAAAGGAGTATGTCTTCATTGTGATCCAACTAATTACGTCATGTTATTCTCGATTACTCAAGTAATTTACGTTGTTCGACACACATCGATCAAGCAAACGTCATAATCTAATTGATTAGTGATTATAGAATATGAGTTTCATGGCTATAAACTTGAACAAATCAGATTTCGACGAGGTGACCTGGATTAGAACATATGTGCTCTGTTCAACAAAAGCTATATTCCATATTCAACGATCGTTTTCCGGAGAATAAACACGGTGAATCTTATTTAGTTATCTTCAACTGCAAATTAAAAGAAGCTGGAACAAAATGAAAAGAAAATACCTGCTCAGGAGTGAGACGGCGTTTCTTTTCCGGCAACTGCTCGTCGAAATATTCCTCTTCGTAAAGCTCATCGGCTGTGCTGAAGAAAGGCCGCTTCATTTCCTCCATTCCCATCACTGAACTTGCTCCTAAATCAACAATATCAAAACTATTATACGATTAACAAAATCACCCAGAAAATAAATAAGTTAATAATACTGGTTGACCGATTTACATATACGATTATATATATATAATAACTACGAATCACGTGGACGGTAAAAGCTGGGAAAATAACACGCAGGGGCAAAACGGGAAAGGAAGTGAAAAAAGGCCGTTGTTGAGTACCTCGAAAACGTGAGTCGCCGTTGCCCAGAAACAACATGTTGCTGTGGCAAGACGGGTCGAAGAAAATACGTCCGGAATCCATTTATTTCGATCCTCCGGCGGCTGAATCAATCGTCGATAGCCACACGAGCGACGTGTATTCGTGTGTGTGTGTATATGTATGAATCTAAAGAGCTTTTTATTTAAGTACCTCTGTAATTCGATGTAAATCGGGTGCGATTCTCGCTTAGAAACTGGTATTTTTAATGAAACTATTAAAATAACATCAGCTTGTGGCGGAAGAAGCTCGAGCACCAGAGCAACCTCGCCGGCGTATCCAACGGGCAGATGCAAAATCCCATCATGCGAAAAAATACTTTTCCCAGATCCGGCGATTTATTTTCCGGCAGGGTGGCGCTTGACTTTCCCGGCGCTAAAATCGACCACAGACCAGTATGTGCAGAGAAAGGTAGCTGACGAGGACAATTTAGTAATTTGGCTGTATTACAGTGGCACACTTGTGATTTTTGCAGCTAACGTTGGTGGAGGAGAGCCTGGGGCCTTTTATATTGGTTCCAAAGTAATGAATGACTGTTTTGCCCAAGCGAACTTCGGATGATATTGAGGTGGTGATGAATGATTGGTGTGGGGCGATTTGGAAATTCAATGTATGAGTTGTGATGAATTGATTGGATAGCACTAACTTGCGCTGGGGATACGTGGAGGGGATCTGAGCCGTTGAGTTACTGTAGATTGTGGGAAGATAAAGAGTCGCCATTCTCTGTGGTCGGGAACTTGTCGGGTTACGCTGGAACTTCAAAGTCGCAGGTTGTCAATCCTGCGGTTCCTGCAATTTGCTCTGTAACTTTAGAGTCAACGTTTTACTTTTTAATTATTATTTTTTTCTCCACTAAAGTTCAATTACTTCACGTCTCGAAAAAATTAACATAATGTAGTTTTTCTTAAAGATCTCATGGATCACAATAATGAAATTTTAGACTAATTTATCTTTCACTAATGATAACTTGTAACTTCAAGGGATTGGTTTTATTCTAGTTTATATGCAATTGGGATCACGAATTGTACGCTGATTGAGTCAATACATCATAATTGCATATGATTACCCTAACTTCTATTTGTGTACATAACTATAACTAACAATATAAGTCAAGCGGTTTTGTTATGAAGTCAAAATGTATGTTTAGGTTACATATGAGAAAAATTAATTTAGGATGTGAAATAGAAACAAATAAATAAAATCCATGGAATAATCTCCCTTTACTTAAAATGTTTGAATTTTTTTTTTCTTAGAAAAATATTATTTCCAATTTGAGTGCATACTACTTAAGGGTGTTCACGGTCCGGATTGGTCCGGTTTTAGCCAAACCATGATCAAACCGGACCTAATGATTAATTTTTTTCTTGTCCATAATCGGACCAGTTTTATTTTTTAACCGACCACACTCCGGACCGCATTGGACGGTCCAGTTTGACGGTTAACCGGTTAAATTCAAAATCCTTGTTTTGGGCCTTCAATTTTTATTTTTTTCATTTTGGGCTTAATTTTGTTTTTTCAATTTTGGGCCCTAAAGAGATTATTTGGGTTTAAAAATTAAGAAAAATAACAATAATGAAATAAAAAGTACACAATTCGTCATCAGCATAAAAATGCACATTTTCTCCCATAAACATAAAAATACAAAAATGATGAAGATTAATTATGCAAACTGAACCCAAACAAACATTCATTTTTCAGTCAATTTATACACCTGAAATAATAAGAGCAAAGCATTCATAGTGAATGTATTGGATTTGTTGGTCATAGTGAATGACTGAATGTATATATATATTTGTTATAGTTTTTTAATATTTATCGGTTCGGTCCGGTTAAACCGGCGGTTTGCCGCAGGTAATCCGTTAACCGGACCGGCTATTCCGGATTTTTAAAAAAATTAACCACCGGAGTTTTTTTGGCTTTTTTAACTGACCATTTAACCGATCCACGGTCCGGATTGACGGTTTTTTCCGGTTAAAACCGGACCATGAACACATTAGTACTTTTGTACATTTTTATTGCTGCAGATCCAAACGCACTTGCAGTGTTGCAGTCCTTACAGGATAGCCACAGACACGGTGGGACCCACATTAGAATCAATCTATCTTTTATGATAAGCATTTTTAGTAATTAAAGTAATTGCCATAATTAGATGAGAACTTTAACCAATGTGAAAATTATCCTTTAATTTAATAGTCACTCATATCAAACTGAAGTTATTCTATTCTTGTATCAATGCATACATTTTATATGTGTGTGTAATTACTTGAAAATTTAACAATTCGATCACTACATTGCAATAAGGTTGAAATTAATTATCCAATTTCATCTTTTATCTAAATGTATTCAGACTAACAATATTTCTTGAGTCACACTATTGTGAAAACTAAATATATGTTAACCACCTGCAAATAATGTATTTGGGGAAAAAAAATGATGCATGTATTAGCATTTATAGATAGCACATGAAAGCAACATTTTTGAGAGATTAAATACACATTAAAATTATTCCATGTAGCAGGAATAATTTTTAATATATATAGCTATTTATTTTTCCTGGTTCTTAAAGAAAACTCACAATAATTAGGTCCACTTTCCATGTGTTCGCCAGTTGTTGCCTTGGAATTGCATCTGTGACAGTAACATTTGCACCTTTTTTTTTTTCGAAAATAAAAAATCTAGATATATAGCCAATATTTTAAATGAAGCAAATCCAATGTGAAGAATAAATAAAAAGATATGCAACTTTATTTCACTAAAATGATAATAGATATTTAGAATAAATTCCCACACCAAAATTCTCAATTAGAGTCGTAAAAATTGACAAATAAGAAGATGAAAAAAGGTGTGTGAAATATCTAATAATGGAGGAATATGTTTTCTAGTAATCCAATCAGAATGCAGAAAAAATATCTTAATTGAATAAATCGATAAATTAATAAGGCTTTGACTGCCGCCAATGAGCTTTTTCTCAGTGATTTAGAAGCAAAGTTTTAAAGGTTGCATGAGCAAGTGCGCGTATGTGTGAAAAAAGGCCAAATGCTTTTTTATTATCAATTCCTTATTTACTAAGGTATGTAACTTTATTTTTATTAGTATGGTTTCGTTATGGGTCATATAAAAGCTTTTTCTTTTTGTGCTATTTTTGTTGAACGGTCTAACTTTTAGACAAATCAACGTATTATGGTATTTTAAAAAAAAAAGTATATATATATATAATTATAATATAAAATGTCTTGTTTTTGTTTATGACGTTTTTTTTATTAATATTAAATTTTGATTTTGCACGATTGCATAATTGTTGAAAGGGTGTTGCTAAATACCGCACCCCTTTTTGCTAAATACCGCACCCGCAAAAGACAATTTTGCCCTTTTTAATTTTTTTTTTTTTTTTTTTTTTCTGCTGGCCGGCCGCTAATTGCGGCTGCAACTCGCGCGGCCGGCCGCTAATTGCGGCCACCACTGGCTCGGCCGC